GGGAGGAGAGGGGGGGGGGGGGGGGGGCACCTAACTATATGCAGATACCGACTTTCAGAAACTCAATATTTGTGAAGACTTTTGCAGGTTTTGGCAGAATTGCATCACTGTAAAGTGTATCTAAAGGCAAAACGTTTCTTTTAGTTGGATAAAGTCAGCAAAAAGGTAAAGAGGAACCAAGCTCTGTAAGTTGTGCCCAAAAAAGGCAGACAGAGGGCAAAGGACCAGTCGCCAGCATTGCTTGTGGTCCCTCTGCTTTGATCTTTTCCCCATTACTGACTTCCCATGCTTTTTTTCTGAACTGTGTCTCTGAGTGGAGACGGCCATCTTGGTAAAGGCAGGGCTTTGCTTCCTCATATCAGAATCAGCAGCAAGGAGAACAGTGAGCAGCATAGTAGTGACATCACCAAATCACTTTAAAGTTTCATTGAACCCATCTGTATCCTTGTCACCATATAGGCTGAGAAGACCAACAAAAATAATCCATCCCTAAATTGCACAATCCCAAGTAGGAGAAATACACTTGTTTAGTCCTGAGCTGGCTTAGCAATAGTGCTTGTATGGTTGTTGATGATTGTTAGCATTCTGGTGTCAGGCAACACAAGGATGAACATACCATTTGTGCAGACTGGTGGCCCTCTGGGATGCAGGGACCCGTTAATATTAGATGCACAAGGGGTGCAACTCCTGGGAATCCTTCTGTTATCACATTGCCCTAGATACAGCTCTAATCTAGGGCAGGGAAGAATCCCTCTTGAAGCTCTAACCACCTTGGTTTATAATATGTAAGTGGTGTTGGGCTGTTACCACCACTACCTTCACTACCTTTAGCAGCACTCAAACATGCAGAATGCTCCCTCCATTTTCTTTTGACAACATCAAGTTAGGGGGGTGTTATTGTATAACCCCAACTGCATGTTATAGATCATGAGATATCTATCCATCCTGAATAATATAATCATCTATCATGAATTACTGATGGAACCTGGGCAGCGGCTTGCTGACTATGTCCTATGCCGACTTTACTGCTGCACCTCTTTTCTTTTAAAGTGGAACTAATCCCTAAAACAATTGGTAGAGAGCCTGTTCTGCCAAAATTCTTCTTCCATTTTTCTGTGTTTGCACTGTTCCCATCAGTAAGATACAGAGAACTGAGTAGGGTGCTGGGACAATACAGAACAATGATAGTGCAGGAGACACATGATTAATGTCCACCCAATGGCCAAAGTCACCGGAAGAAGATAGAGAGAATGGTATACGGAGTGGCAACAGCGAGCATGGATCTGTTAGTGCTGGAGGCGAGCAGACTGGGGGTTATACATATTTTCACATTATGGCAGGAGACCCCATTGAAGCTTGGCAGTTCATTTCCACTCTAGCTCCTGCTTCTATGGTTCCATTCATACATTGAGTGACTTTACCATTTACATCCACATGTATCTCCTCATAGGACCAAATACTTTTCAGCATCTGATGGTAAACTGCTATATTTGCTCTTTCACTCTTGCCAGTGATGATCAGTTTCCTGTCTGTTGTGAAAAGGCAGGTGCTATTACTAATGTCTGTTTTATGATTGTAGCTGTCCTGATCCAGAAAAGCTCAGCTTTTGTGGCATGCCAAAAAAAATACAAAATCAGGGACCTGATGCTTATTTAGGACTCCATGCATCATATTTCCTGTCCTGCCTTTCATGTGATAAGCTATATAGCTTTGCTTGGGAGTTGACTCTCCTAAGTGGGGCTGTGCAAGTAAATGAGAAATGGAAAATTATTTCTTTATTACAGGTATTTATATAGCGCTGACAATTTACGCAGCGCTTTTACATAGCATACATTCACATCAGTCCCTGGCCTCAAGGGGCTTACAATCTAAGTTCCCTAGAATGATCACATGCATACTTACAGGGCATTTTAGACAGGAACCAATTTACCTTCCAGCATGTCTTTGGAGTGAAAATCTGTTCAAGTTGATGTACTCCAACGTGCATAAGATTACATTATAAGACACATGTTCCTCAGACCAAAAGATAAAAATACATGAATAAAGTACACATCTTGCATGCTCAGAACCAAAAGCCCAAAGTTGTTGTAAAGTGTTTTCCAATTTGGTCTACAAAGGAAAATGACTTCCTGATTCCCAGTTTTATGAAAAGAGAACTAAAAGCCAGGACATCTATTGCTGGTACAACTAGAGAGCTTTTATTTTGTCTCCTCAGTATTTCCTGGTAAGCCTTGGAGGACGTCATACTTTAAGGAAAGCCAGCATAATAACAAATACAGAGGCAGCCATTGCCAAGCTCTCTTTATACAGATGCTGGTAGACTGTCTGCCAAGCTTCCCTCTTGCTTCAGAACTTTGACTGACCCAGCGAGGTATGCAGATAAGGACCTGTGACTTTAATCTGACAGCACACATTTGCATATTTGTGCAAGGTCTGTGACTCATTAAAGTGTATTTGAATTAAAGATCAATTTCTCAGTATGTCTGGCGTTAGCTCTTCCGCTATACAGTTTTCTTAAGCAAACAATGTTTTGTGAATCTGTTATGAAGTTGCTTA